CAGCATGTGAGCCTCGCGGTGGTTTACTTTGCCCTCTTGTTTCCCTCTCCTCAGCTCCACGGCCACCTTGAAACCACCCGCCCCACCACCCAGCAGTCTGGCAGCCGCTCGACAGAGAGTGGTTCTGGAGCTCCCGGAAGCACCATCTCAGGGGGTGGTGACTGTCTGGCCTGTCTGCCTGCCCCTGAAGCCTCTCCGCAGTGTCTGTCTTCACGTGGCCTGACCAGAGCTCTCCCAGAGCAAACAGTCTTCCCTGCAGGCATTTGTCAGCAGCAGTTGTCTATACTGCGGCTGCCTGAGGTGGCTGTGACAGTGGCACAAACAAGAATGATGGTAAACGTTAAAAATTAAAATAAAAAGCTGGGGAATGCAACGTCCACAGGGGCTCTGAAAGCTCCAACACGTTCCTGGGAATCTAGAAGCCCATCCAAGCTAGCTGTTTGCACGCCCAGAAAAGACCTAAGAGGGTCCTAAACTCTCATCTTTGGTTGACCTTGAGGCTTCGAGCAGGTAGGAGGTGAAGGCTAAGGCAGAGGTGTAGACTGTCTGCCTGGGTGTTGAAGAGGTGCCCCAACACACACATAGAACCCCTCAGCAAAGGCTGGGAGACTTACTGGGCACAGAAACCGGCAGAAAAAAGATGAGCAAACACAAAGATAGATCAATTGAAATCATCCAGATTGAGGGGCAGAAAGAAAAAGGAATGTATTAGTTATTTTTGCCATTCTAATGGGTGTAAGGTGATATCTTAGTGTAGTTTTGATTTGCATTTCCCTGACGATCAGCGATGATGAACATCTTTTCATGTGCCTATTGGCCATCCGTATATCTTCTTTGGAGAAATGTCTGTTCATGTCTCCTGCCCATGTTTTGATCGGGTTGTTTTTTTGTTGTTGAGTTGTGTGAATTCTTTATATATTATGGATATTAAGCCTTCGTTGGATGTATGACTTGCAAATATTTTTTCCCAGTTAGTGGGTTGTTTTTTTGTTTCAATCCTGTTTTCCCTTGCCTTGAAGAAGCAGTTTAGTCTGCTGAAGTCCCATTTGTTTATCCTTTCTTTTGTTTCCCTTGTCTGAGAAGACATGGTGTCCGAAAAGATCCTTTTAATACTGATGTCAAAGAGTGTACTGTCTACCTTTTCTTCTAGAAGCCTATGGTTTCAGGTCTCAGCTTTAGGGCTTTGATCCATTTTGAGTTTATTTTGGTGAATGGTGAAAAAGAATGGTCAATTTTCATTCTTTTACATGCAGCCACTATGGAAAACAATATGGAGATTCCTCAAAAAATTAAAAATAGAACTACCATACGATCCAGCTATCCCACTACTGGGTATCTAACCAAAGAGCTTGAAGTCAGCAATTCCAAAAGTCCCATGCACCCCAATGTTCATTGCAGCATTATTTACAATAGCCAAGACATGGAAGCAACCTAAGTGCCCATCAACAGATGATTGGATAAAGAAGACGTGGTGTATATATACAATGGAATACTACTCAGCCATTAAAAAGAAAACAAAATCGTCCCATTTGCAACAACATGGATGGACCTTGAGGGAATTATGTTAAGTGAAATAAGCCAGACAGAGAAGGACAATCTCTGTATGACTCCACTCATATGAGGAATTTAAACATGTGGACAAAGAGAACAGATTAGCAGCTACCAGGAGAAAGGTGGGGTGTGGGGTGGGCACAAAGGGTGAAGGGGTGCACCTACAACACAAGTGACAGACAATAATGTACAACTGAAATTTCACAAGATTGTAACTTATCATTAACTCAATAAAAAATAATAATTAAAAAAAGGACAAAAGAATGTATAAAAATGAACTGAGCCTAAGCAATGTTTGGGACACCATCAACCATAGCAACATACAGACAGAATCCCAGAAGGAGAGGAGAGAGAGAGAGGGGGAAGAAAGACTATTTGAAGAAATAATGAGTGAAAACTTCCAAAATTTGATGAAAAACATTAATCTACACATCTAGGAAGCTCAATCAACTCCAAGGAGGAAAAATTCAAAGAAATCCACATTTAGACACACCATAATCAAACTATCAAAAGCCAAAGACAAACAGGGAACCTTAAAAGTTGCAAGAGAAGCAACTCATAAATTGGACTTCATCAGAATTAAAAACTTATGTGCTTCAAAGGACATTACTAAGAAGTGAAAAAATAATGCAAAGAATGGAAGAAAACATATGCAAATCACAGATCCGACAGGGGACTTGTATTGAGAATATATAAAGAATTCTACAGTTCAGCAATTTAAAACGACTCAATTAAAAAATGGGCAAAGGAGTTGAATAGACCTCTCTCCAAAAACGAGACACAAATGGTTAATGAACTCATGGAAAGATGTGCAGCATCACTAGGGAAATGCTCATCAAAATCACGGTGAGATGCGGCCTCACACTTGCGGAGACGGCTGTGATCAAAGAGTGGCAACGGGGGCCAGCCCCGTGGCTTGGTGGTTAAGTTTGGTGTACTCCACTTCAGCAGCCCAGGTTCGCAGGTTCAGATCCTGGGCGCGGACCTACACCACTTGTTAGCCATGCTGTGGCAGCAACCCACCAAAAAAACAGAGGAATACTGGCACACATGTTAGTTCAGGGATAATCTTCCTCGGGGGCATGGTGGAAAAAAGACTGGCAACAAGTGTTGGGAAGGATGTGAAGAAATTGGAACCTTCATACATTGCTGAGGGGAACGTAAAATGGTGGAGATGCTTTGTAGAACAATTTTGCAGTTCCTTAAAAAGTTAAACATAGAGTTACAATATGACCTAGAAAATCTACTCCTAAGTATATATCCAAAAGAATTGAAAACAGGTACACAATCAAATACCTGTATATAAATGTCCACAGCAGCATTATTCATAATAGCCAAAAAAGTAGAAATAACCCAAATGTCCATTAACTGATGAATTGATTAAATAAAATGTAGTCTGCCCATAAAATGGAATATTATTCAGTCATAAACAGGGATTAACTACTAACACATGCTACAACATGGATGAATCTTGAAAACATTAGGCTAAATGAAAGAAGTCAGTCACCAAAAGGCCATGTGCTGTTTGTTTCCATTTTCATGAGATGTCTAGAATAAGTACATCCAGAGAGATGTAAAGTAGGTTAGGGTTTGCAAGGGGCTGGGGAGAGGTGGACAGTAACTTGGAACAGAGTTTCTTTTTGGGGCAACAGAAATATTCTGGAATTAGTGGTGATAGCTGCACAACTTTGTGAATATCTTAAGAACCACTGAATTTTATACTTTAAAAGGGTGAAATTTATGGTATTAAAGGTGAAGTATATTTCAATTAAAAAAAAAAAAAGAACGCATCCTGTGATGTCATAAAGACCTGGGGCTCAATTTTGCAGTTACTATTTCCTAGCTGTATAAACTACTGATCCCTTTCTGGGTTTAGTTTCATGCTCCTGTTATAGAATAGGGATAACCGTGCACTTCGTTAGAGTTCTCGTGAGGATTAAATGACATATCTGCATGAGAAAACCCAGTGTATTTTCAAGCAGACACCAAGTGTTCAGATATTATTAATTCTCTTATATCTTTATTTTTACTTAATTTTTCAAACTTCCAACTCAGCCTTATTATATTGATTTCTATGCTTAATCACCTCCTCCTTCCTTCATCATACACTATTATGGTTTCCTAAAAACTGCTCATATGCCAAAGGATATCTCTCTTATATGAAGATGAGAACTAATGTTTTTCTGCTATGAAGAGAATACATTTTAAAATCTGAAAGGAAGAAAACTATGAAATAAATTTTTATATAGAACTGTTGAATTTCAAAGTTTCGAGCTATCTTACAGGTCATCTAGAACAATCCTTAGCTGATAAGTGGGTTCTTGTACCAAAATCCATTAGATGGCAATAAAACGGTCTGCTGGACAACTCCCACTGTTTTGAGAACTCCGTTCTCCTGGGGAGGCCTCATCTACTTTTGGAAAACTGTAAGGCAAATATTTACTTACTAGTGTAGGTTCTCATTTTATTCTTATCTCTTAGGATGCTTTGAAATGTCTTATAATTTTTCACATATATTCATGTAGCTGTTTTTTTCTTTATTGTCTATATGTCTGGAGGCAGAGGCTGTGATTACTAAAACTGCTTTGTATTCAACCACAATAAGAGTCATGCTTCTAACTGTCTTTAACAAATACAATTTGATCATGACGGGAAAACGTGAAAACATGGATGCTCTCATATATTTGGGAACACGAAAATCACAGAAAGTGCAAAGAGGTGGAAATTGCAAATTTTTGCAAAAACACCCAGTTACAAAAATATCTAGCTGCAAAATTTACTGTTTAACATGCATGAAAGAAAATTTTGGAATGTTTTATCATTAAAATGCTACTTTTTACAAGTTAGAGCCTATCCTATTAAATTATTAAGGTACCTAAAGAACTCTATATACATATTAATTGAAATTCACTTTCAAGGAAACAAGATACTGTGGTAATACCGGAATGTTTGAAATATATGAATTATTAAAGCTGAAAGCTTAGTAGGCTGTATTTATAAAGCCATGTGTTTAGAAAGAATAACAATGTTGAAAACCTTGAATGACAGTTTTTCAAAATGCTACTTCTTTTATCAACCAAAAACCAATAATGGCAAATTCTTATTCTATTAACAACTCTTAGTCTTTCTCTATTTTTATAACTCTTCCTTTGCTTCTGTAATTCTCTCACTATGTAACAAGCTGATATATAAAGAGAAACTATGATTGCATAGGAAAAAAGTGAAACCTGCTACCTGAAGGAATATGTCAAAACAATCTTCCCAACTGTGTAACTAAACAGACATAAAGGTTTTCTGAAATCGTTGCATGAATATGATCGTATATTAGAAAATAGCTACGTTACAAGGACATTTGTGATTACATTATTATGAACAATAACGATACTACAGCATATGAATTTTAACATCCATCTTCCTTTAGAGTTTGCAAATTAAATCTGCATACATACCAGATCTGTTTTTGGAGGGTCTGCACACTCAGTGGAGAAATAAGGAGTCGAACTTCTGGCTCCACTGCCATCAGAAGTCGGCCTTGGAGGCTGAGCATGCTGTCTGTAAGTAGCACTTTTAGGAGTCCAACAAAATAGATTGATTGATTCTCGTACACAGCGTTCAATGTCAATTTCTAGATAGAAAATTTAAGAAAAATCAAACATACGGAATTTAGATTGCAATGTTTATGTAAAAACACAATTTTCCTAAATGCATATATCCGAATATGGTTAAAATAACTAATTAGAAAAGATGTCAGTAAAAAAATAGGGTAGATATTAACCAGCATATTTATGACTGGAAAGGTCTTTGATACAGAGGTAATATACATAGGAAGATTATTACAGCTCCAAGTTATCGTTTGTGTATTTTGATGAGACTACAGCTCTTTAGGAGGTCAATATTCCTGATGGACAGTAAGCTATTCCTATATGGGGAAAGTGGACAGATCACAGAGAGGCAGTAAAAATTCAAGACATTGACTAGGATGGAGTTCGGCACGGACTAGCTTTTCCCTTTCTACACTCCTACCGTAAGTAAATGGCAGATAGTTTCATTTCCTCCGCAAAAGTCCAAGCGTGTCAGCTCAGACAAGCAATGGAGAAAAATATACATGTTTGAAACTACAAAGGGATAAGTTCCTTATTTCTTTTTTTGAAATAAGGAGCTTATATATAAGGTGAAAAGGACATAGGCATTTAAGCCAATCCTGTGGATGGTACGTGAGTTATGCCTTTAGAGTTGTCTGCTTTTGTAAGGCAGAAAACCCTTGGAGAAGCGGAGGGGAATGGACACTTATGGAGCATCTGTGACGTGACAGGCCTTGTATACTTTCATTCCGCCCATTTAACTCTTACGATGATTGTTGCAGACAAGTATTTTAATCCCCCTCATTTCTGCTGAAGATGAGGAAACTAAGACATAAGGAAGCTAAGTGATTTAACGTGTTAAGTCATGAGTAGAATGTCTGAAGTTACGCGAGGGTTATAAGGCATCTTTTATTCTCAATTCATTTAGATCTGGGATATGGCCAGCAAGTCCGGAAAGACCAGTTACTCAATGAAGCATTCCTTTATCTGCTGTCAGTGATGCCTGCCAACTTCACAGCTGGTTACTTCCATGGCTACACAAAGACCTCAGATTTCATCACCCCACATGCCATTCCTAGCATAAAATCTATAAAGCAGAGTTTAACATGTTTTGAGACACAGGTTTATTTATTTAAGCAATGGTCAATATAGTGAAACGTGTTTTTTAAACAGCTCTATAACATAGTATCAACCTGGTATTCCACAAAGAGCAGAAGACAGACACCAACTAGAAGAAAAATCAAAGTCTGAGATACTTCTACTCCACTTTAGAAGAGATACGCTCAATTCATTTTAGAAAATTCCCAAGTAATATGATTAAGATAAAAATTTGCATCTAAAGACAGAAAATCCCGTCATCTTAAAAAGGTTTATCCACTTAACACTGTTTAATCTCCAAAAGAAAAGAATTTTGGACCACAGATTTTGCATGTGCAGTGCTCAAGTCAGTTTGATTCATCTGTCCCCAGCAAGAGCTTGAAGTCAAGTCAACGGTCCAGATCAGAGGCTGTATTTCAGTCCTTGAATCACTGGTAAGGGAAAAGCCATTTGTATCTGCTTCCAAAACACTCTACCAATACCATGAGAGGCTTGCAGTGAATCTTGAGAATTTGCTGGCATCCACCCCGATTCCACCCTGATTATCAGTACTGACAGATACCCCACTCTCCATTCACTTGACCCATGTCACCTCTCCACCACAAAATCCTGCCAAGGCACTTTATCATAACCAAAATATTATGCACAATCTCTTCTAAACTGTATATTAAAACATGTAATTATTCTTAAGAAGTAATCGCTCATCCTAGCGCACTACTGTTTTCTATTTTGCATTATAATTTTGATATAATGCATTGTGAATAAAACATGTACCCTGGATTATGATTTCCCAGGTTTGATTCCAAGCTCCATGAGGTAATCTGTGACCCTGCAAGAAATAATTTCTCTAAATCTCGGTTTCTTTATCCTCATCCATTACTATGGTATCTCTCAGAAATACTGAACTATTTTCAAAATGATAAAACACACCTCCTGTTTATTTGGAAGAGGGTAGGTAGAAAAGATCTCTCTCCTCTTGCTGTAATGGCCTTGAATTGCTTCCTAGGCCCAGTGAACAGATACTGTCCTGGCGCTTGTCTTACCATCATCTAATTCCCTTTGAGCTCTCCTGCATTTGATCCCTAATTTGGGGGGTAAGATATTATTTACTCTTTGTTGATTTGCTCCATCATTTTGGTGGAACATATTTTCCAGTACTTCCAAGAAAGGGTGCACAGAGAGAAAATTAGTCTGGAATCTTCCAAGTCTTTTAATATACATATTCTGCCCGGGACTGATGACTGAACTCGGCATAGCATTCTAGGGTTGAATTTTCCTCCTTCAGCGTTGTGAAAGGCAGTGCTCCACTGTCTTCTGAGAAGTCTGACGCAGTTTTCACTGAGATGTTTTGTATGTGATACTCTCCCTTCCTGACCACTTTCAGGAGCCCTGGTGTTCTGAAATTTCTTACGGATCTATGGAAGTGGGTATGATTTAACTGTGCTAGACACTTGACGGTCCTTTCGTAACCCCTCAGTTACAGTAAAAGTTCTTGCTTGATGTCTGCGATAATTTCTTTCTGTTTTTTCTCTTCTTTCTTCTATTAGAAGAATCTCGAAAACTCTGAACTGATTTTCTAGTAATTTTCCCTTTTCCTCTGACTTTCCATCTCTATTTTCGTTCTACTCCCTGAGAGATTTCCTAAGCTTCATCATCCAACTCTTTATTATAAAGCTCATTGCATTTCCACATTTTTAATTTTCAGTAAATCTTTTCTGTTCTTCGCTAGTTAAAAAAACCCTGACCTTTTGGAGTTGCAACACCTTCTCATAATTACCTTTCTGAATCTATTTCTGTGTTTAGTTTGTGTGGGTCTGCGTCTGCTTGCTGGAGGCTTTCCTTCGAGGCTGGTGATCCGTGACTCTCTGCAGTTAAAAGGACAGCACTAAAAATCGGACTGGAAGGTCTGTCTATGTGGGCAGGGCTTGGGAATGGTGGCCTCACTACAGGGTGACTTGGGGGCATGGTCGTTTGTTGGGGGACCCCCAAGTAAGGTATTTCTCCTTCTGGGGAATGCCATCTCTCCAGAGAATAATTCTCTGATATGTCTAAACTAATCCTTGACAGCACTCTGGGAATTGACCAGGAAGGGGACTGGGGATTCTAAGTACATACATTCCCTCACTCCTGCTCTCTGCTGTGCTGTTGATTCTGAGTCTTGAGATTCTCTGATTCTTTTACTACAAAGAATACCCCTCTAAATTTACAGTTTCCATGGTCATGTTTTGTATAATTTGCAAAAGTAAAGATATTTACACCACAATCAGTGAAGACTGCTGTCTTTACTTACACCACTTTTCCTCCATTCTACTTCCTCTTGTGCTGGGCAACATTACGGTGGCTGTGGACACTTTATAACCAAGAGTAAGCTAAATTAGAGGTATATTTAGTTTGGTTAAATGGGACATATTTCTGTGATTTAAAGTTACTTTTGGGTAATGACAAAGATTTTCTCTTTATCAAACTCTAGCCAGGCTCCTCTAAGCCCTTTCTTGATTATGCCTCAACCCTGGCCTAGAAAGAATTGAACAAATCACTAACATAGTTTATAAGTGTTCAAGGCCACATCCCTTGGATGACCCCAGCCCACCTTAAAGTGGATGCCTGAGAAAAGCCAAGACTACCAAAAGAACTCACTGTTTGCCCCAGCCAACACCTGAAGATAGAGCCCGTGTCCCTGCCTCTGTGGGAAGATGGATCCCGACTTCAGCAAATGCCAGGGAGCAGATTCAGATGGGTTTCAATGGACAAATGACCCCCTTCTCGTTTTCTGTAGTTTTCCACTTCCTTTAGTCTTTTAAGTCCCTAGTCACCTCTTTCCCTATTCCTTCATTCTCTCTTTAAAATGCCCAGTCACCTCTCTAAAAATTGAAGTTGATTTAATTCATGCTGGACTATTCCTTATTGCAACAGTTATTACTGATTAAAACCTGTCCTCATCACTTTAGTGTCTGGCTTTGTTCATCTCTGACAGTATACTGAAGTCACTGCTAGCTCTAGGAATGACTTCCTGGAACACAGGAGCAGAAGTTGTAATGCAGTATGAATGTGTCCCAGCACCAGAAGTTTATGAGTAGGAGAAACATAGTTGAAATGTACACAGACAAAAATCAAGCCAAAAAATTCTTCCAAACATTAAACATGTAAAATTATAAGCAAAGAATCTGGTTCTCATTGATGCCTGATCAAAAGACATACTCTGCTTCCAGGCATATACTTGACAATGCTATATATACAATTATAAGCGCATCATTAACTTCCTTTTTCTTTTTTGATAGGCATTTCATAAAGTAGCATTTTCATGTTTATAGGAAACAAACCTGCAGCATCACCACAAACGGAGGGTACACTCATGTTAAGTCACACGCTTTGTGCGTTCCTACCACCAACAGTGAAAACGAATCTCAACCAGCTCCGCCAGTGCAAAGACCAATGGTCTGTTTTCTCTATAGAAAACATGGTACAATTATTGTCATATGAAGAGGTGATCAATGAGTATGAAGCAAAAAGGGAGGAATACAGAGGTCAGACACTTAATAAAAATATGTTACTTTCCTGTTTTGTGATTTGTTGTGATCTCATTCTAAGTATTCTTTTATGGACTACTCTTGTACTGTAATTTACATCCTCTTCTTAAAGAGGGCCAGCTCCCCACACTCACGCTGCTAAACCTGGATGTGGCCCTGTCTTCCAGTCTCCTGCTGGGTGCAGAGGAGTAGACTCTTGGCTAGCAGGGTGGGAGCAAAGATCTTTGGGGTGGGAGAAATGAACTTTTCCTTAGGCACAGATTCAACTGATTCTTCTCTGGTTCTCTCTCATTTTTCATTCACTTCCAGTTCCTGAGATGTTTTGGTGCCCTGCATCAAGATCTGGCTTGCTTCTTGCTGGTACCGTCCTTGCAGGAAGGTTTCGGTTTTCCTTGCTTTTTTAAGTGGGTTACTGCTGA